AACAAATCAGATAACTCTTAATTGAAACTCGGCATGAAGTCTGGGTGTGCAGTCTTTTCAAATTGAATAAAAAGGAAATACCACTCATTCTCAAGACAAAAGAAACGTTTCCCTTGACGTGTATTGTGATTAGATGGTAACAGTTATCAGTCTGAAAGTTAATCATGTGAGTAATAATTTTACAACGCTTCGTCCTTAAAAAGGGAAAGCTATGTACAATACGTACGTGTATATTTGCTGCCGCAGCGAGCGAGCCTGAAGCGAGCGAGCAAGGCAGCAGATCCTAATTTTGTTTTGTGGGTCGAAATCAAAATTTTCTATTTGGCGCATTGCATGACGGTACCAGTGAATTTTAACCGTGGTGCAGCGCGGTCAAGCATAAGGCAAACAGGCAATGTGATCATCTTTCATCTTTGGTCTTCTTTTATGGAAAGCCATAGCTGGCTTAAAGTGATCAATTGGCATTTTGTTGGGTGCTTTTAGCATTATGCGGCGGTGCTCTCGGCATTATACACGGTGCTTTCGCCATTTAATATACGCGGTGGTTCCCGCATTATACGCTGTGGTTCCAGCATTATACGCGGTGCTTTCACCATTTATATACGCGGTGCTTTTGCAGACTTTGCAATTATACGCAGTGGTTCGAGCACTATATGCGGTGCTTTTAACATTATACGCGATGCCAGCTTTCATTCAACATTACTTCCATATTAATATTCTTTCCATGACATGTATATGATTTAACGATTGCTTAAATTTGGTATGTGGTTGACGAATGCTTTTTGCCTATGGTCCGCAAAGACAATGACATGCTTTTCTGTGTATATAAATGAATATAACGCAGCGAATGCCCAAGCAGTATAAACGCACGGCTGAAATACGATATTAAAATCTTGAATGTGCCGTATGAGTTATGTTTTAGGATTTACTTTGTCATTTGTATTTACACTTGTACTGCATCACAAGGCAGGACGTAAGTGAAAAAATTTCACATGTGAGACTGTCTTGTATATATTTTTTCTTTCTTTGATAAACATGATTAAACACGCAAATTTGAATTAGTGAGACGCAATGTTAAATGTCACCTGCATGTCATTGTCATTGCCCTTTAACCCCTGGTCTAATTGGCCGCTTTTGAAAATGTTGATCATGACGAACCGCATTGCCTTAATTATGCAAACTTTGTGTTTTAAAAACGGTTAGGATAAAACGCGGATACGGACGGACGGATGAATCACGACGGATGGCGACGGACGGATAACATATATATGTCATTATATAGTCTGGGCGCAGCCGCGCAGGGTAGTTAGTGGCTTACGTCTTCGCTGGTTGTTATACTTTAAAATAATTTTGTATATACCGAGAAATCAATAGCGAGTATATAAATATATAAACTGGGATGTTATACTGATAGTTTGTTTACATTTCCTGGAGCATCAAATCTTATGTTTAACCGCGGTGGTTTAACCCATTAGCTGGCAATGCGCCCTTCCCTTGTCCAGCGCCAGAAGATTTTACTCGTCAGTGGTACAGGGTACTGCCAGTAAATGGGCTAACAAACCTATCTGCCAATGGCTCTTATTAATCCATCAGCACAGTAATGACTTTAGTATTTGCCCTGTCCAACACCAGACGATTTTTAATACTCAGTCAGTGGTAGGGTGCTGTCAATAAATGGGTTAACAATTCTGCCTCGTCCCCAGTCGCTTGCTATCAAATAATTATTGCAGTGCACGCGCTGATCTATATATTACTGATATTTAAATTTGATCTATATAGAGGAGCCTGCGGAGGAGGCAGTTAACAATTAAGGATAACAATAATAGGATGTTTCTGAAGGACTCGTTCAACACCCTGTAGTTTGTCTTTTGCTGTCAAAGGCAGCATTACTGCCCTGTGGGTAACCTAGTAATATTCTAAGTATACACTTAATATTTTAGCAAAGCCAAGATTTTATCATCTCATTCTCAGATATGACATATAGAATAAGTGCATCATGCTGAGATACCTCGAGAAGTCTTTTAGTTACCAACTAATCGATATCACTCTTGTCAAGGTTAATAAAGACAAATTGTACAACAAAGTAAGCAACCAGTGGCGTAACTCCTATGAGCTCTACTCGGTAAAAGCCGGGGGCACCCAGGCAATCGGACTTCCAGGGGGCATACTGAACTGAGTTGTCCGGGGACCTTGTTCATCTAAGGTTGTATGTGCATAAGTATACCAAACATTTCACTGTAAATGTCAAAACAATTTCTGCAGCATGTGTTTTTTTTTTTTTTGCTATACATATTTATATTTCCTGTTTGAGAAACATTAAAATTCGCTTCTAAACGACTAGCAAAATGTTCATATTGCCAGAGCTTCATGGTAATCTAGGATCGCCCTGCCTTGGGGGCACCCAGTTCCAGTAGAAACAGGGGCAGCCTGGTCCAAACTTACGCGCCTGAAAGCAACGATGCTAATAAGAGGCTAGGATATATTCAAGGAACAACCATGAATATTTGTGACTTTCGTCGATAATTTTCCTAGTGCGCTCACACTTTGGATATACGTCACACAAGAACGAGTCCCTCAAACAGTTGAGTTAGTCAGATGAGTAGAACGAGTTCAGAGACGTGCAGCGAAATCTATTGTGATGTAGTACAGTATAAAGACAGTGAGACTTCTCGCAACTAGGTTGCTTCCACTTCATAGCTACTGCATGGCACGAATATCTGGACATGATATTCTTCTACGCGGAAAATCACGGAATATATATTTATTGTTGATAAAAAATAATATTTTAACTCTTCAACCACAAAGACACTAAAGTCAAAGACAAGTTCATCTGATCCCAATTCGACAAATATATCCCAAAGACTTCGTGCGTTAATATTCCACTGTACGTCACTACTGACCCTTGTGTAAACCGTGCTTGGCTTTCTATTTGCCTTAATTTACACATTCGACAAGCGCATTCGAAAAATATAATACAAGTATATTACACTCTCATATATTATAGTTACACATTATGTAAGCAACGACATACTCGACTCGATGCTACAAATATGTTCGCCAACATTTCTTCGATATAGACTAACGTGGTTTTCATTTTTGCACTACTTGATATCGTAAAATATCACCAATCGTCGCGCGCTATAATATATTATTAATTACTATATTTTTCTAATACGTATACAATGTTTGATCAAACTGATATGTCGTGTTTAAATATGACATTACACGATATAAAACAGGCCCCGTGCGCTAATATTAATTTAACCCCGATGACCCTTGTACAAGCTGTGATTATATAAAGTTATAAACGACATAAATCCCTAAATCTTGTTAAAACTGAATATCTACTAATTGGATCTCGGCATAACGTCAACAATCTAGCCCTTGTTCCAAATGTGTTCGTTGGCGATGTACAAATTAAAAGAGTGAGAGAAACAAAAGCACTTGGAGTATGTATTGATGAATTTTTGTCATGGAATAAGCATATTGACAAAATTGCTAAGAAGGTTTCATTCGGAATTGGAGCGATCAGAAGACTCAAACCCTGTGTGGACCATAATACATTAATATGTGCTTATAACGCACTTATATTGCCCCACTTCGACTACTGCTGCGAAGTTTGGGATCCTATTGGTATCACACTCTCTGATCGCCTCCAAAAATTACAAAATAGGGCTGCTAGAGTAATTACGGGTCGTAAAAACGAACACGGCCAATCTGAACTTGCTTTAAATGAACTAAACTGGAAAACATTGAAAGAACGCAGAACTCAATTTGTAGCAAGGCTCATGTACAAAATAACCCACGATCTAGCGCCCAAACAACTAATTGATATGTTTCAAAAGACGCCTTCGTCTCAACATTATAACTTACGAGGTTATGCCACAAATCTCTACCTGCCCAAACCTAAGACCGAATATCTCAAAAAAGGTCTTAGTTATAGAGGAGCAAAATTGTGGAATGGCCTCCCAGATAGACTAAGAAATAAATGTTCTCTTAGTCAATTTAACTTAAGTGTGCGGCACCTGGCCAGTTAGATAATGAGTTTATGAAATTTTATTTATTTGACCATAGTAGAGTAATTATAATTGTATAATTGTATTGTAATGTGTAAGTCTTGTATATATATTTATCCTAATTGAGTGTAACGTTTGTATTTTTAAACCTACGCCCCTCTTGGAAATCAGCTTTTGCTGTAGGGGTTAGCGTGGACAAATAAAGTTTTTACTTACTTTACTTACTTACTATTCGATTCTATATGCGTTGGAAATGACTTCAACCTGACAAAACATATTAAAATAAAGACTTTACTAAGAATTTATACACATCTCTATACAGTATGAGCGTTATGCACTTATCCTGTGGTCCATAGACGGTTCGTATTTCAAGGATAAAAGGAACCGCGCAGCAGGACACCGCGGACACGAAGGCTACAGAAGCTCACGCTTCCGTCCGGCTCACATACCTGCGCATGCACCGGCTACCCACAAAAACATTGTCTAGATGGACAAGACGAATTATTTAGATGTAGACCCAAAATCATAAGCGAAGTTTGAAAATATAGGTTTTCGTGTTAGAAATAGAAATATATTTTGTTGTAGAAACGCTGACTTTGTTGTCATGGGAAACGCTCCCAGATGCGGTACACACGACGCTTGGGTGCATGCACATATTGACATATTAATAGAAACGATTGTACAAAATATTTGTACACCGATTGAGCAGGCAGGCCTGCCGTGTTCTAAATAATCATGTTAGAAATGGGATAGTGCTATTGGTAGGATTAGGGCTTGCGTTAGATTTTCCTTCCCTTTGTGTTAGGGTATAAAGGACAGGCGTTAGGACTTAGGGTTAGTGTGAGAAGTAGCGCTGGTTTTAGGGTTAGCGCTGGTTTTAGGTTAGAGTTAGGACTGGGCTGGACTGCTAAATGTTATCAGGAATAGTTATGACTGCCAAGATTATAGTTATGACTACCAAGGACTATGGTCATGACCACTAAGACTATAGTTATGACTATTAAGGACTTTGGTCATGATCACTAAGACTATAGTTATGACGTTATGACTACCAAGGACTTTGGTCACGACCAATAAGACTATAGTTATGACTACTAAGGACTATAGTTTAATATGATCACTTAGTTGTATTATCATAGTATATAAATATATTTAAAGACACTCACCGCAACACTTTACTATAATTTGGTTTTCACATCACATCCTTTGCGAGATCTTTAACTCAAAAATACTTTAATTCTTTAGATGTCGACTGTTTATACGATTTTATACGGTATTTTCAGTAATTCAGTTTTTTACTATTTTCAATGTGGGCGATGCGCGAATGGGCAGCTGGGAAGAGTACGAATTAAATTTCGGCGTAAAAATAGTCTCGCATAAATAATCCATGCATGCTCTCGACCATCAAAGATGCTATCGACTGTCTACGGAATCCAAATCCGCGGCGACGATAGAGTGTAAGTTTAGTTCACGTAATAACTTTGATAAGATTGTTGTAAATATAGTCGATAATTCATAATTTCTTTTAAAATCTAGGTAAATTGTCATTGAAAAGCCCATTTTAGGGAATGTCAATTAATAAATTCAATTCGGTTCTGAAATTGGCCAGAACTTCAGATTAACGATACCGTTCATACCGCGCATGGTTTTGGAGATTTAAAGCGTTAGGGTGTGCGAATATTGTGTTAATATTTATATATTTTATGACATCGTGTTTATATATGCCTGGACCGGAAGTGCACGGCCACCTTTTCAATTTACAGTTTCATATTGAGTTTGACTAATGGTCGAGGGTCGAGGGTCGAGGGTAGTAGGTCGAGGGTAGAATGTCGAGGGTCGAAAAAAAATGTCGAGGGTCAATTTTTTGTCTCTATGATTTGTTCGCAAATTTTTAGTAACAGAATCAAATACTTACCATTACACATACGTATCACACTTAATTAATTTGCTTTAGCCCAACGTCAATGTTTTAGCCCTATTATGGAATTTGCCATGGCGCAGAGTAAGTTAAACGCAAAGTTTAGTTTGAACAAACAGATATGTTTTATACGCCGATGTATACTAAGTAACGAATAAACCCTAATTTGATCATTATCAACATTATGAAGTTAACTGATCAAATTTCGATCGCTGCAGTCAAAAGGCTTATTAATAAGGTTTCACATGCCATTTGATAAACATAACATAACCCTTTGCGACCTTTGTGCACTCATGATTTCAGCAATCATTACGATCCACAAAAGCGATATACAGGGTGTCCCAAAAAACCCGAAAACTATTGGAATCACTTATTGTTAAATTTGAATGCCCTACCAAACAGCTGGACGTAATGATGCGTAAAATATTGACAAGGCGCATGTATTAGAATTTAGTTAGGAATATCTCCTGGCAAAGTGCGCGATTTTCTGCTCCTGGGAATCAAAAACAACTTCTTAAACAGTTTCTTTATGCATAAAATTTACTTATGTCAATCATTTATGCACTCGTGGGAACCAACAGAGTGCTAAGGGATTCAAATTCTAACAATCAAATTGTTATTGGTGATTTCAATAGTTTTCGTTTTTTTTGGGACACCCTGTATAAGCTGGAATGTCTAGTTTTCGTTTATTTCTGGCGTTTCTACCGTGCAAAGATGATCTCTCCTGAAAATATGAATTGAGATAGTCAGGGGCTTGTCCATTCAAACATTTAAACGTTAGAACGCCAACAAAGTGTTTTAAGTGCTCATATTTTTGTGTTCCTGTGATTATTCTTGCCGCGAAGTTATGCGGTACTTTTTGAAGTTTTTCTATGTTCTTCTTAGTCGTCTGGACCATATGTTTGAACAATAGTACTATAAATTTGGAAAATACTGGGGACGAGATGACGTTTTCCAAACTCTTAAGGTCAAAAAGATGTTTAACCCTGTTTATCTGACATAAGCTAGCAATACAGGTAGAAACAGTGTTTACTACATGTTCGTTAAAACTTAGTGTTGAATGAAGTTGAATCCCAAGATCCCGTGCCGAAATAGTGGGAGTAATCATTTTCTCAAGTAATGTCACATGAAAGTCATCCGGTAATTGTTGCAACATTTTGTGTGCCCTATTACTAACGCTTTGGTCTTGTCTGGTTAATTAGTAACTATTGATTTAAAGCACATTTGATCATATCCATCATAGATATGTCCATGCACGTGTGCTATAGAAGTGCGCTACATATAGAAGTGCTAATTGTAATTGCGTAATCGTAAATCATCACCATACCAGTTCAGGTCACAGGGTGCCCGACTATGGCCTATTTATATATCAATATCTCTGTATCTCTGTATGAATTTGGATATTAATCCTCTGTATATTAATTAATCCATACATATAATCTCTATATACAGTTACATTAAAGCGGTCAGTGCATAAACGCGCGTGAATAAAGCATAATTCGTCCACTGACCGCTTTGATATAACTGTATTATACTTTATTCACGCGCGTTTATGCACTGACCGCTTTAATGTAACTGTATAGAGATTACATATATGGATTAATTAATATACAGAGGATTAATATCCATATTCATACAGAGATACAGAGATATTGATATATAAATAGGTCATAGTCGGGCACCCTGTGTTCAGGTCTGATAGAGAGAAGCTATAATTGCGTTTGTCTGTCAAATGAGCCCGTTCTACCTCTATATAAAGGCGATTTTTTCCAATAAACCGCCGCCTCACGTAAAAATCCCTGAAATATTAGAATGAAGGCCCAGACACACCGCGGACGCAATTCGACAATGCGACGCGACTTTTTAGTTTTTGAAATTTAATAAAACAGCCAATGAGAGCAAATTTAAATGATATGCAGACCAAATAACTCACTGAAAATGTTATAGCCTTTCTAAATATTTGGAAAATTTAAACTAGGATCAAAGTTATCGGTCAGTGAAAATCGAAAAATCGCGTCGCGTTGTCGAATCGCGTCCGGTGTGTCTGGACCTTAATAACCATGGGTATTTTGAAAATATTGCGTTCGAAAGGAAGACAACTGAGCTTGTAGGTGTTTGGATGGTCAAAAATTATATATACTGCAAAATCAACATGCATGCAGTCCTCCTACATAATTTATTATAGGGAGTTTACGAATGTAAGACCGCGACTTCAGGACGACGCCTAAACAAACTGTTTGAAATAAATGATTGTATGAAAATCTTGTCTTGTATTTACTTTTGTATGAATTTAAAATAGTTTTGAACGAGTAAAACAGAGTTTCAACCCTCCGAGCAATGTTGATCAACTCTGCTAGAAACACTACCTGTCACGGCGTGAAATGCTAGCGTACTATACCAGACGTGAAAGTATACATTTTGCCATTGTCAACAGAGCTTGGACAACGTATAAAACCCCTTTTAATCATTCATTTATTTTGTACTATAGGATTAATGTCATTATATTGATAGTCGTCGTCCTGGCGTCGCCGTCTCACATTCGTAAACTTCCTATTATAGATAAAATTTCGACCGTCAGTGAAACAGTGCCAAAAATCATCGATTTGTTGTTGTAGAAAAACGAGAAAGGCTACAGCAAGTTGTGAATTATTATGATTTCATTTATCTAATGTTCATGATTTTATTTCATTAACTACAGGGGTGTACCGAAAAAGGATTACCAAAGAAACACTTTTCCACCATATTGTGTTGGAATGGGTTATATCCTTAGTTCAGATGTCATTCATAATATGATGGTGATTGTACCCAAGCAACCATTGTTTAAACTGGAAGACGTCTATATTGGTCTGATTCTAGAAAAATTAAAGATAGTGCCAGTAGATAGGCGTAAATATTTACAGGTACATTCTGATTACTCCTGGGATGTTTGCCAACATAAAGACATGTTGTTAAGTCTAGAAGCAAATCCAAAACAAATGCTGCAATTGTATTTGAAATTTTCAAAATTAGGGAAATGTGGTCCTGTAGATTATGTTAAAAAGGCGTAGTTTGTATTGTTATTGTATATTGAATTTGAAATGTAATTTTTAATATTTTTCGTAAATATTTGAAAGCGTCTTTTATATTAATTGTTGGTAAATAATTTGACAAAGTATCGTAGCTTAAATTATTATTGGCAAATAAATTGTGGGCGCATGTTGAAGATTGCTCGTGGACATCGGCCACATTTGTGCAATATCAGCGCATTGTATCAATTTTAATGTAGGTTATGCAATAACCAAGGTTAGTAACTTGGTAACTTGGTAACCAGGTATCCTGACGTCAGCACGTCACATGACCGACAGGATGGCGCAATGGGATTAGATGCGACATCTATCATTCGAAGTCTGACGTCCAAACGACAACAACGTGTGTTTTGAATTTTTTATGCACGCTTAGCTCAACGACTTTCCACTGGCACAGTCCAGTTTAAAAATTTATTTCCACCAATTTTAATTGGTGTGAAGGTGTTAGTTCGGTGCGGGTGACAGCCCAAGATGCCATTATCATGGATCTTAATCTGAGTCCAAGTAACATTAGGCAGTCCAGGTCCC